GAAGTAGCAAATTACAACATAAAAAAAAAAAAAAAATCCAGGAATCAAAACCTCCAAAGGTCTACAATGGGGGAGGGTCAAAGGTCTAGAGTCTAGAATTGCGCGCGATCCCCATTCTAGAACCCTGGGATTTATCCCCAGGGGGGATCTAAGACACTTCGTGGTAGAGGGTATATATATTTCAGATATTTCAGATGCTTCAGATATTTCAGACATTTCCGGATCCAGAGATGAGAATCGCGCATGTCTATCACCATATCTATCACCTTTGTATCATTTTGATTCATTTTGTATCATCCCACCTTCTCGATGACTTCTATGGCTTCCTCCTGCATGGCCCTGGGAATGTTCAAGTCCAACCTCAGGATGTCAGGGCCCTCGGTTCCTTGCCCCATGGCCCAATGGCGCCGGCCAGGTCGTTCACGTGGCCACTTCAAACGTATTCCTGAATATTCAAACATATTGAAACAGAATGTATTTCTGATGTTTGGACTTTAAACCGACATCAACACACAAATTGCTTCAAATGTCGATGTCCGCGTTAGCTCACTCAAATAGCCACTGCAAGAGTCGGCCTTTGGTCGTTCTGGGTACTTTCATGTACTTTCAACTTGAAAACATTCAAAGCATTCAAAATCAATTAAAAACTATTCACAGAAATCACTTATGTTGTGGTGGGAGATCTAAAGTATCTAGAGATTCTAAAGTAGCAACAAAAGTCCAACACGAAAGTCACATAAAGATCATAAAGTAACATAAAGCTGGCGTAAAGTTACTAGGCGTGCGACTCCAACAGTCTCGCCAGCTCGTCCAGGAGTAGTCGTTGCTCCCGAAGGTAGTCCCTGGACCCCAGTGACCACGGTGCTGAAGGAGACTGAAGGCTTGAAGTATGAACTAACTCTTTCATTATCATTAAGTTGCTTAATTGATTTTAATTGATTTGAATTGTTTAGAAATCAATTCGAGTAACTGTTACAGTTACTGTTGGAGTAACTGTTAGGAATTGAATTGAACTGAATCTCTAGCTGTGTACTTTCGACTGAAAAATTGGCCGCCAGTTGCAGTTTTTGTTGGCAGCTGCGAAACACTGTGAGTTTGAAACCTCAAACATCGGGCTCCTCGCCCAACCTCTCCCAACCACATTATGACATAGCCGCTGATAGTTAAGTTTTGCATTTTGGACGATCATTTTGGAGTGCTGAGAATTATGTAGAAAAGGGACCATAACTGCAGCGTGTCGGGTTGGAGCAGGGCTCCATAAGTTTGAGCGACCCGCCATGACCCGCCATGTTCCATCAAACGGATGTCATCAGGAGCCTACGACACCGCTCTGTGGCGCTTTGGGAGCTCAGTGCAAAGGATTGCTCCTCGGTCAGCTGGTACCACTTCACTGAAGACTTGCTGACCATTCCGCATCATCATTGCTTGAAAATCTTGAAATAGCTATATAAAAAGTTTAATTTTAATATGTTAATAAATTTATTATCAGACCCAACGATTGGGCTGAAAACATACTGAAATGTGCTGAGACTGGATTTACCTGGCCCATTGCACTGGTCAGTGCTGTCCTTGTCAGACTTGGCTTGCAAGGCCACCAATGAGGCTCCATCTGGGCCGGAGACGACCCGGGGGAGGGTTGATCTGATGCAAAAAACGATTGTATCATCTGACTATCATCCCAGTCATTATTAGATATAATTAGACATTATTAGAAGAACGGAAAGAACATAAATATGGTTGCTAACTAAGGTCATACCTAGAGAACTTTCAAGAAAAACCAGTTGAATTGCGAGTGGGGTCTGGGTGCATCAGCATAGGAACTGCTGCAAGATAACAACAAAGATGTAGCTCAGGCGGGATGAAACATTACGAGAATCTTCCGTCTCATAGGGCCAAGGGGTCAACGATCTACTTAGTGCAGACAAAATCCCGTCAGTTAGTGCAGACACACGGGAGAATGCCAGACAAACACACAAACATGAAGGGGTGGGGGAAGGAGTACAAGGGGTGGGGACAGGAAGGGGCATTCTACACACTTCATCAGCCAACAACATCGCTGTCATCTTTTCTCATGTCTTTTGGGAATGACGTTCTGTGTCTTTTCTATTCACAGCAAATGCGCTTAATCCGCACGAAGCGACAGAAGATCAAGCGGACCGAGCGAGAGAATTTTGACCGCTCGGAGGCCAACCGGCCGAAGTGTTGAAACATGGCCATTCGTCAATGGAACTGCGTATTCTATGATGCTCTGACTGTACAAAACATGTTGTGGACCTGTTCGCAAAGCAGGCCTGCCAGTGAACATCCACTATGCATTAGGCCATTGCCGGAAATCCACCAACTAAGCAGCACCATTCATCCATGTTATCCAACCACATGGTGCCTCAAAGATTTTAAAAGTTCAACACGGCTTCAGCATGGTTCACCTCCCAACCCACCGCTATCCTGGGTGCCAGACTCACCAGAAGTAAACTTTGGCCACGGGACCAGAGGTCACGAGGGTCCAGAAACACTTCCTGGGGACAGCTGAATCTCCAGAGAATCTGTCGCCTTCCTTGGGTTGCGGGTGCAGAAACCTCTGTCACGTGTCAGCAATTTACTGAAGTCCTGTTTGGCATTGGAGGAAGAACGTTCAAATTGAGGATCTGTCATCAAACACTCTCCTACCCTCATGAATCACAGCAGCTCGACACCCCTGCCAGTCAACTCAACACCAGTTCCCGCCTCTGCCCGATGCACATGGGTCAACGGGTCCTGATGATGCAACGAAACAGTGTTCCCTGCGAATCCCCTGACTGCAGGGTCTATGTGCTGTTTTTGTCAGTCTTTACTGAAGACAGGGTCACCCCATGGTTGAACAGGGTTTCTCGTCATGAATGTGCTCTTAATGCAATATCTCTGCATATACATATATAATTATATTATCATATATTCAAGTACATTCATATGTAGATGTGCGTAGACACGTCTATGACACAAATGAGGTGATAACCAACCTCTACAGGGATGGGGCAGTTTTAAGGCACCATGACCACTGAGGGGTGGAGCTGAAAGGAATAGCAGCAGATACCACATGGATAATCTATCGGCACCTATCCAGTCAAAACTGTTGGGTGTTGCTTCATGAGCGACACTGATGACAATGCAGTTCTTCACCCATTTACTATCATTGCACTCCTATTGCTTCAACAAGGAACCAATAAAATGAGCAAATATGTGGTCAAGGAAAGGACGAGTAACGAGGTTTACTTCAGGTTCAAGCCTGAATGCAACTGGTAAATCAATGAGACTGAAATGAGATCATTTGAGATCATTTGAGATCATTTGAGATCATGTGGTCAATGTTTCCCTGTTGTTTTTGTGCTTCCAGCACCTCGTAGGTGATGCGCAGCGACTCGCATGGCACCTTCCGGGGCTTGCCATCATCCTGCGGCGTCTCGTACCGACAAATTCCCATCCCCACGGTGACCACAGTGTTTCCTGATATCACCAGTACGACCAATATGGCCAATACGACCAATACAACAAATACCTTCAAGATCCTTCAAGTGTAAACCACATGACTAGCAACTCGCCTGGTAGAATCTTGAGGATTGCTCCAGTTTGGACCCATAACCGCATGTTCGTTTCCGTTGTGTGTAGAAGTACGCCGTGTATCACTTGTGCTTCATCTATGTTCGCTTCAAGATTTCCATCTGTAGTGACGCAACAGTACACCCACTGCTATGCCCATCTGCATCATCAGCCCCAAAACGGATGCAAAACGAACTAGTAGTATGTCCATCCAGCTTAATCAAAATTGGGTCAGATTAGGTAACAAGCCTAAAATCAATATACATGCTACCCCAAACGCGGAAATGCAGAGCACTAAACGACAATTAAACGACACATGGTAGCTAGTACTGTAACGTGTCCATCATGCTTACAAGGGAACTGGACTGCTACCAGATTCGTACTGACAACAAAAAGGCTAATGTATACATCCAACTCCGTAGTAAGTGTGGTAAGTAGATCATGTGAGTATCAGCAATGGAAAAGAAATGAGAAACTTAACTTGCGAAGCATGGGATAATATGGGATAATATGAGAAGCTAAGTACCTTATCACTGTGTAGACCATTTTTTTCTATGAGAGGGTACCTTCCAAGCCTGGGGACCATAAGTTTTTTGAGATCGCCATAGGATTGGTACCTTCACCGGAAAACACTCCTCGCTCTCATCAGAGCTGCTAACGCTGGGCGTGGAGGATGTCTCCATTGGTCATGCAGTTGATGGCAGGTGATGCTGTTTGTAGATCAACTTGGCCCACTTGGCTGTGGGTGTAGAAACTTGGAATTCATGGCTTGCAGATGTGGTGCAAAGCAGAATTCTCCTTCAAGGTTTGGGGAGAGGTGGATTGAACCAGTAAACTAGGTCATAACATGTCATAACTACGTTGTGACTACGTTGACTTGTAGGTGACCGATAGGTGACGCTGGCTAATGAATGATTTCAAAAGCTGGTCTTTGTCGGTACATGATGAATATGCCGGCCAAACATTGCAAGCACTTCAGTCCCACGCTGTCAAGTTTGACTTCGTGTGATTATCACACAGATATTACACATATCACATATCTCTTTGGGCCAAAGAGTCATCCAAATCATGATGTGTTCAAGGTTGAGGTGAATTGAGGCAAGAGGAGTGTGCAAACTCCCAAAAGAATGGGCCCTTGAGTTCCCACAGTTCTGACTTTGATAGACTTTGGTTACACCTTGTCAGGCTGGTAATCTCCAAAACCATGACCTGACCATTCTGCACGGTTTCCGCATGTGAAGGCAGGATGGGGATTCCAAATTCAGGATTGACGGTTAACGGTTTCATGTCAACAGGGCTTCCAAACCTTAAAAATCAACATTTTTTGTAGCACAAACTAGTCACATAGTCACATCCGCAGGACAATCAAAAAGGCCAAAAAGGTGTAAATGAGGTGTAAATCAACGGGTTTGAGGCCGCACTGCACCTTTTGATGCCGAGCTCAACCCATGAGTTCCAACTCGATGGCCATCTGGATGAACTCATTCTCACCTGGCACAATGACAGCAGACAAGAGCAGGGGTTCAAGCTTTGGACTCCCAATGTAACGACAGAGTCTCGATTTCGAAAACCCCAAGACCAAATGCTCCCAGAGAATTCAAACAGACCAACGGGACCAACAAATCCCAAATTTTATCACAGCTGCTAGGCCGCTAGGCATCCAAGTTGCTGGCACGATCCAAATCGCTCCAAAACCAGCGCCTGCAATGGTATCCCAACACGGGATTTTTGCAGACAAGACATAGAAAAATATAGAAAGATCTGACAGGGACCAGTTTCAAAAATTAGAAAGTCCGGCTGCTTCAAGGCTATTGACCCATTCAAACCTCAACGAGGGCTGCAATTACAATGTCAATACTAACTCTTGACCCATCAATACCTATCATACTCCATGGTTCTCATACCAGAGTTGCTCCGGGTCCGATGTCTTCACAGTGAATCCTAGACATAAGACAAGGATAGACAAGGTACAATTGATTTATACCTTCAAACCCAAAAACAGAATCTTTCATCTTGAAACATCTTGAAACAATCATGTTTCCTTCAGAACGGCTTTGCAATCACCGTGAGAACACACCTGACACCCTGGAAAATCATGGAGAATCAACCAATGTTAAGACAGAGGAGGGTATTCCATTAACGTCCACCAGCTCATCATTAGCCAATCAGCTGATCCATGGGTCGGCCATAAGTCAACACCCGCAGTGCAGCCAGAACTGCCTTGCCCTGGCCAAGGGCAGGATTCGCGAAGCCCATGGGCTGAGCAGAGTCACATAGACTGCCAGGAGCACGTAGCGTCCAAACATCTTCGTGCTGAAGGCATGCCATAGCCTTGTGCAGTCTATGCAGTGGATGCAGTCTCAACCCCGCGAATGTTTCGAGCCTAAAGAAGTGCCACAACAAATGTTTGATGGGCCACGGCTGGTATTGCCACATGCTCGCTAGCGCGGCGCTAGCGCCAGGCTAGCGCGGATGACTGCACTACTTGTGGAAATATGTGTGACAAGTACTGGGGGTCCCAGAAAAAATGCAATGACTGAACTTTGCAAACTCAAAACGCCCACACCAATGCAAAGCATTCCGGATACTGTCGGCAAACACCATACTATCACATCATCTCAATACCATGCCAATTCCACACAATACTACGAAGAAACTTCCTTCCAATGCGAAGCCAAACGTACAAGTGAACTACTTCCTAGGAATGTTAAAACCAAAAAATGCTAGCGCACTGCTAACGCGAACCTAGTACCGAGCTGCAGAAGTGCCGTGTTTAGTTGGAGGCCCGCTACATAACGAAGACAAAAAATCTACTATGAATTACTTTTCCTCAATAGGGATTCTTGACCGGATTCCATATGTGTGCACATGTGTCCATTGTAAGAATCTGTAAGAGTGTTCAAAAACGCGGACAGCTAATACAGCCACTAAATTGCAATTCAGACCAGGAAAAATATGTTAAGCCAGTTAAGCCTACCATTTCAAATTCAGATGGCAGATTGTTGGCATTCTTAGCCGCAAAACCGCGACAGCAAGCTGTGCTGATATCTGCATCTGGGCGACTGAAAGCAACAGCTGGCTCCAAGTGCCAACTTCAAATATGACCTGCCAGGATTTGTAGCACAATGGATGAAAGGAAAGCCTTCCCAAATTAAATGGCATCATGTGTTTTTTCAGTCGCTTTGAGCTCTTAACTCATGATCGACTGAACCAATGCCCAAGGTATTCAACATTTCCCCATAGAGTCAGAATATATCAGAATATGGTACATGTCACTGCTTTTCCTTCATTGAAGCTCTGCAACCAAACGCTTTGAAAAGCAGCTTTAAAGTGCTTTAAATTCAACCTTCGCAACCTTAAGCACAAGTCCAGACCTGGATAATGCTGCGCTGTGGTTCATGGCATCCGACGGAACTCGAACGTTGAAGTTCCAGACACCCACATCGAAGAGGAAGAGATTCGCCTTTCTGATTTGATTGCCCCAAGAACTAGCAGAATAATCTAGTTCATCTGATTGTCCAACTGATTATCCAACTGGCTTGAACCTTCACTTTATGGTGTGGCTCCGCAGAGATTGCAGGTTTCCTAAAAATGGGCACCGGCATGCGGTCCCAAGAGCCAATGGTCCAAAATTTGCGTGGTTCGCAGTGACAGCCACATCTTGTTATTCCTAGTGACAGCCACAGTCCCGAGGATGACCAAACTCAGCAAGGGGATGAGTGGACTCCAGAAGAATAAAGTCTCCAGGTAGGTTGTCAGCAAGGCCATTTGCTGCAACGGCACCAAGGAACCTGACAAACAGCTTGCAGGTTTTGAGTCGAGAGCTGCTCTTTCGTGAAAACGTCCCCAGGATTTAAATGGTGAGTTTCTCCACACCAGAGGACAAGAGGGGTGGCTCCTTCATTGGGAACAAACAGCGCAATGGCTGGGCTGTGCCTTCATCAATCAATGGGCCAGGTGGGCAAACGTCAACCCCCGAAAATGTGTGCGTACCAGAGAAAGAGCGAGGAAGTAAGTATTCATATAATGAGACATCCTGTCCAAATGTTCCTAATTGTAGCATTCTGACCTTTCTGATGAAATGTGGACCACTCTAGTGGCTGCCGCCTGTGATCTTGGGCCCGCGGCCCCAAAGCTTCAAATGCCGCCCTTCTTCACTCGCAGGGTCAGTTGATTCCGGTTTACCGAATCGCCAAACCAACAGCCTGAGCCACTCAGAACGGCTGATCACAGCCCTATCCGAATCCAAAGTACAGCGAATACCTCAGGGTACCTGATATCCTCAATGTTCGTGGGAGCACAGGAAAACCAAAACCGTAGTCATATGCACTGCATGTGAAAGACCAGTAAAACGCAAAGACTTCAAATGTAAAAACTTGTTGCACCCAATGGTTTTCTGTTCGAACTAAACCCTTCTGGTTACGTTTTATCCAAAAAGCCAGAAAATCCACCGAAAGTCAATTGACATCAGTTGGCATCAGTTGGCATCAATGCCCAGGAGCAAGACTAAGGGCTGCAAAGTACTCCGCAGCAACAACTTCTTCAGAAGGAGCGGTGCCAAACCGTCCACAATGGCACGGCTGCAACGTCCGTCCATCCACCAGTTGTCACTGAAGTTGCACATGTCCTGATGCCAAACATCGATCCACTTCCAGTGGACATGGAACATGTTGGAAAGCTCCCCTGCCTTCGGCACAAAAAATGAATTGGCTGTGGGTCAAAACCCTGGTACCCTAGGTACCCTAAAATAGTTAGTTAATGGATGGTTATTCTTCCAAACATGGTAGAATGAGGTTTTGACTTTTGACCCATCTCCAATTAAAGATGTTCAGCGATTGCTATTTTCAGGAAACAAAACGCCAGTAATAAGGTTGAAATAGGTCGAACTATTCATTGGACTAATCAAATCTCTTGTCAAATCACAAGTCGCTGGTTGCCACAGTTGGTAAAAATCCAGTTTGCCTAAGTTTGCCGAGCATCTCTTTTGGTGTTCAAAATCTCTTCGCCCCAGATTTGCCAATTGAAGTTTTGATGTTCTGGCGCACCTTCTTTGCATACGATCCAGAAATACTTCCAACCGCCCAAGCAGTTCCTGGGTGAAAGAAATGGTAGAAGCGGAGTTGTTTAGTTTATCCATCGCTGATAATAAGAGGATTGGATTTGGGATCATAGCATTCCTGCTGACCATAATCCATCTCAACGATAGTTTATTTTTCAATCCGCAAATGGTTTTTGCATGGTGGGTTCATTGGCTGCATTGGATATATATATATACACATAATACTGGCCATCACTCTCTTATCTCTTCAGCCTCTTTCAATCTGGTTCATCCTCACTATCTACTGTGTCATTCCCAAAGTCGGTGATGATATCTTCATGTTCAAAATCCTACTCTTATTTGTCTCGCATTGAGCATTTTCTCCGTGTATACAGAGTAGGTTTGGAGTCTTGGCAACAACATCCAATATGCTTTGAATGAACTTTAAAACGATATGTTAAATGAAGTTGATAAGTACTAATTCTGATCATTTGGGGACTAAAAAATGTTCACTTTACAATTAAGAATGTAAGAGACATAAGAGGCTATACCTGAAACTGAACTAGTCTGTTGGCGTAAAATCCTTCAGACAAATTACAAAGGGGTCTTCCTCAAAAATTGAAATCGGTTGCTAAGTTTGTTTTGCATGGAACCATAATGCTGATTTCATTTTTTATATCACACTGGAGATACATTCGATGTTTCCGCTTGATGACAGCTATTTTTTCAGATTGTTTCATCAGGTCTACTGTACTACATATCCTATGTGATTCCAAAAAAGGTGTTGACCATCATGGTCGGCGCAACTATGCTTTGTTGAGTCTCAATGCTTTGGTTCGCCAACCTGATGCGATGACAACTAGCATCAGAGTGTCATCGCAGCAGAGGCAAATCTCCCATCCTTACATCTTCTGCCATTCCCTCTCATTACTCTTATTCTATATTAATCTATATTATACATCTTTTCTGCGAGTCCTTTGGGTTCTTGGTTAGTTCAGGCACTCTGATTGATGTGATAATGTGAATGTTCTCTCTCCTCCTCTTCCGGGTCTTTCAATCTTTCGTCTGGGTCTTGTCCGTTGGCAAGGTTTCTTGACATGTCACATGTCTGTGTTGCAAAGTGTTCATCACTTCTTGGCTAAGCTTCTCATGCAAGAAGATGGTGGTCAATAGGGAAAGCAGCCATGCTGAAGCCAGACGAAAAGTCATCAGCAAGCGGTCAGCCTTGGCGTCCGAGCTGTTGGACAAAGAAAACAAAGAATTTGCATCAGCTCGGGCTGTATTGGTAAAAGCTGGCAGTACAGTTCTACATTGGCTAAGGTTCTTCTTCCGATCCTAATAAGCAATTGACCATAGGATGCTACTGTGTATAGAACATACTGTATGCGCTCAAACATACTCAAACTACTCTCAGTCTCTCCACTTGAGAAGTGGTTTGATCCTAATCCCGCCTGACGAATGAGTACCGATGCCGAGCTCAAAGAAGCTGAGATGAATCACCGAAATCAAAATCTTACAAACTCAAGAGTCCTTGGATGCTGTTCATTGGTATCCAGATGTATACTATTGTATACCGTATCCAGCAAAGTTCACGCAGAACCTGAGCGACCCACCTTGATACCACTTCTGCCAGCGTATTTTGTGCAGAGTGGACCCGTCAGCACCATATCCTCAGCGCTACACCCGCTACACCGGGTCCAACACAGAGGCGTCAGAGGCGTCAGTTCAACAACAACGAGCGACAGCAGCGACAACCTTCAATCGATTAAGTTCAAAATGTTCAAATGCACGGGCCATACTGTTAAACGCATAACACAGCTTGGGTTCTGAGCTTCAGCTAAGCGTTCAGAGAAAAATAATCAGACACGTCATATCCACATCATGAAAGCTTCCTCAAAACGCCTAGATAAGGTGGATAGGGACCAGGAGCGCGGACCAGGAGCGCTGGCTGGTCGACTTTGTCAAGGGCTGGGGCATAAATCTCAGATATCTCAAGGTCGAAGATTTCTGATTTGCAACTGACCTTGGAATCCTTGGAAGAGTAATCCAGATCTGCAGCGTGAAGCATTTGACAGCGGTTTTCATTTCTTGCGCAGGGCTTTTGCAGAGGAGCAGGCGTATTTTTGCACAACGAGGCATTCTTCCTACAAGATCAGTTCGGCACTGAAGCATTTCATGTGATGCATGCTGGAATCGAACCAGCCACCAATAAATAGAAACCTGCATATCTTGGAGTACTTGCAGAAACCATTTTCGCCTGATTCGATAGAGACAAAAGTAGAATCAGGAAACAGGCCACCACAGTCCACGGACGGTTAATGCGGTTAATGCCAACATCAGCATAATCCAACAAACAAATCCAAAGAGTAAAGCCAGACAGCCAATTGGTGATCTCAGTAAGTGTCTCGCCCGAAGATTAAACTGTGTCTATTTGTGGAAATATGGATAAATAATGATAAATATGGGAGATCCATCCGAATCCATAGTCAGATTGTGCGCAATTCCATGCAATTCCCCTATGCAGACCAGTGTCGATGAGCACCATCAGGAATGGAGCCATGCGATGGATGAAACTCAGCACCTTCTGGCTAAGACCCGAAGTATTCTTAGCCGGCAATGCCTGGCTCATTTCAAACACGGCAAGTCATTCACCAAATTTTGTGCATCGCTCGCCTGTGCCACAGCAAAGAGAATTGATGGGAGGGACAGAGTTGCCACCATGAAGCACCAACAAAGCCACACAAGGATCTTCCTCAACTGCTCCTGCCGGGTCAAGCTGCACATGCCGATCCCGGAAACGCTCGCACAACACTTGGGAGTCCTTTACAGAACATACTGTACATACATATATTAATCTGGGAGTAACAAAAAAAACAAGACTGGCATGCCTTGCTATCCCCCGCCCACGACAGTCCATTAGATACAGTTTGCGACTTGTGACTACGGTGCTGCATAGTTATCTTTGGTGTTATTGCTACAGATTCACCTAGCCACAGATTGGTCTCCTTCAGACTGCCACCATTCCTGTCAGTACCTTACGTGGCCACCCCAGATGCTGGAAGAAAGAATGGTTGGCAGCGCAGTAGGTTTTGTAATCATATCCCCAAAAAATAGTTTGGCAAAAAACGAAAGTACAAAGCTGCGATAAGCATCTAATGCCCTGCCCCCCAAACAAAAAATGAGAATAGGATGACACATTTTTAGCATTCTCACCTTCAGGGTTTGCTGTGTTTCAACTTCGAGCCCCATTTATTTTCTAACGCCAAACTGCGTCTAGAAAGTTATCAAGTTGTGGGTCTTGATCTCTACAACGGCCCTCATAGATTACTCGTGATTGTCTATGCTCTGTGCATGAATCGTGAAATTGTAGTTACAAATTTCAGCCAAAAGATCCAGTCAGTCTATGGGCTCAGGAGCTACAAGAACAATTCAGAGTCATCCTTTCGAATTGCTGGAATAACATTTCAAAAAATGAAAATGTTGCGAAATGTTCATGTTATCATTGTTACAACTGTTTTTTGGGGGAGATCTCAGATGAGCTGCTGGTGTTCTTCGGCATGCTGGGAAGGACGCTACGAAAGAGCAGCGTCATGAGGCACCAAGCCTTGGACGTTCTGGACGTTGAACAAACTGAGTGCCATCTGAGTGCCATCGCAGAAGAAAGTGTTGATGATGACTTTGATTGACTTTGTATCATGATTTGAGATATCTGTGGAATTCTGCGGATTATGTTTTATCACGAGTGAAATGGATCTGAATCATCTCTGTTGAGTGATGAAGTTCCTGGTCATCCACCGACGTCAGGTGAAGCAATTTGAAGCAATTTGAACCATACTCATTTTGACCACCCGAGTTCAGATCATTTCGCCCAGCTACCAGAACGACTCCACACTGTGTCCAGTGAACTTCCTGAAGGTTGGCCATGGTCATCTGGGACAACGGCGGGCTGCAAGTGTAATAGCCTGTGCCCACTACGAAGAAGATCAGCAGAGGACCTCGAATCCAGATCCAAAATGATCCAAGGTCAGGTTGTGAGGAACTTATGGGCCTTGGATGGCCTTGGATGGCAACCCTACCAATATGGCAAACCTACCAATATGGCGTTCAAGAGAGCTGGAAAAGTGATGGCGTAAACAGAATAGAAGCAACCGGATGGACCATGGATGGTACGTTTCTGAGTCTGAATATGGTTCACTGCATTCTACACTACGCTTGTTCCATAGCACATCCGATGAAACATGTTGAGCCTTCGCAATAGCTCGCCAGATGATTGGTTCGAAAATTCAACGGCTGCACTTTGGCGAACGTTCATATTCCGCTTCATCCAACAAATCTTCCAAGCTGTGTTTTCCGAGTACAATCACCTTTTCCCCATCTATATACATTCATTTTTTTTCCATCTATTCGCACCATCGGCCAACTGGCTCCAGCCTGCCAGTAGCGTCGTGCCCGCGGCGATCTTTAGCAGTGCCAAGTTTGCGGCTGCCACTTTAGAGGCGTCGGCCGCAGCAGCCATGCTGCGGGAGGCCTCGCGCAGTCGGCGATGCAGCGGTTGGTGGAGGATCAAAGCCGCCAAAACCTCGAGCCGCTGAACTCAACCAGTTTAGGCAGGGGCCATTTTGGCTCTTGAACGGAATATTAGTAATATTAGAATATGATTAGAATATGTAGAATATGGCAAGGATAGCATGGCAATAGCATGGCAATAGCATGGCTGTCAGAATTATCTGTGGAAAAACACATGCCTGCATAGCTCAGCCCCCTTGCAGCATGGTCCGTGGGAGGCGACTCGTATGATATTCCATCATTGAGGGGCGTCGCTACGTTGACATCAGCGGAGGACACATATGAAATCCCAAGGCTGTCGGCTTTCCCATCAAAATAGACTGCGCCAAATGGTCCGCTAAGAGTGCTCTATTGCTTTCCGACACATCGGCACAATTGACAATGAAGAAGTCCTTAAAGGATCTTAAAGGGATTGGTCACATTAACTAAGAAATGGAGATCAGCTTCCTTGCACCGACTTGAAGAAATACTGACGGCCATCTAGAAACCTTCCCAAGCGGTCCAAATCTGCCATTTCAATAAGGGCTTCAAAATCTACTTCCAATGATTTCTCAAAGTCTGACGGTTGAGGATTTGAGAATCCACACAATAAACGTCAATAAACTTCAATAAACCCTCCAAAACAATGCTTATTTTCTGCTCATTTGGTGGTCACCAAGAGACCAGGACGGAGATGGTGCCCAGGATCAAAAGGTTGGCGCTCCAAATCTTCGGTGAATAATATAGGAAGGCCTTGAGACCAGTGCCCACTATCGATCAATCGATAGCCCAATTCACAGCCAATTGATACCCATCTGAGCCAATCTGAGTCAGTCAGGTGGACTAAGTTTGACTCGATTGACTCAATCAAAACTTTCCTGCAGGAATCTAGGGTCCTAAGTACTCCTAAGGTGTTCTTTCGCAATTCCGGCTCCAAGCCCGTGAAAGTCCAAGTTAGCAGCATTTGGGCACGTCCCTTAAAAGCATCCAAATTCCATCAAATTCCCAAGTCATGCAGATTCAGATCCATTTAGACAGTCAGTGTATCAGTCTGAAGGGAAGTTCCCTGGGTCATGGCAGTCATGGTATCTCCGGATATCTCCGGCCTGGTTTTCCTCTGCAGCAATCCATGGGGCATTCAATGCTTGGCCGTGGCCCAGCATGTTACCCATGACGGCCGTGGCTTTGGTGTCAACCGCGCTGATGCTCTTTGGGACTCCACAGGAAAAACCTCGGCGAACTCAACCTTTAGGAACTTTAGGGGTTGTCCCATGCCACCATGGTTTTCGTGGTTTTGGACATTCTAATGCCTACCATGCCACCGGGCCTACCGCCTACAGCCTACAGCGGCTCACCTTCAAACCCGAAAGCACAATAGTGGAGAACTGGCAATGGCTTGCCTAGTGAGGCATGTGGCTGGTGATTCATGTGAGGACCAGTGCAAAAAGAAAATGTTCAAACGATGATACTTCGAAATTCCCGGAACTTAGGATCCTGCAAGCCAAATCACCCGATGTTTGGAGATGTCATGTCATGACTGGACCCGTCAAGCAACGGTTGTGATGAAAGGTGGCCCTGGAAGACTGTCGCACACAAGTGCCACCTCGGTGCAGACCCACCATGCCGTGTTGATCAATCGCAACTGAGATGCTGCCCTGGTCCATGCTCCGTGGTCCAAACCAATATACACACACAGCAAAGGAACCTGCTTACAAACAAAAAAAATTATGGGTTCCACCCTGAAAATCAAAGAAAATTGATGATGTGATGTATGATTCTGTATTATTATATTATTAGATTGTCAGGGATGAATGGCTAAAAATCGCCATGTGGCACAGGTCGGGGCAGTTCTGCAGGATGGCTTCGACTTCCTCCAAACCCAAAGAATAGTGCAAGCGTTCACAAGGGCTGCCCTCCAGAGTGTTGCGGATCACGTTGCAGTTGCTTCCTGGGGTGAGCTCAGGTGAGTTCAGGTAAGCCATTGCAGATGTTTGTTTGGTCTGTAGGGATTCTAAGAAGCAGTGGGTGTTCACTTTGCATAAGCCTTGAAAGTTGGCGGTATCCCATCCAACTTGGGGAAATTGCGAAAGGGTATCACAACCTGAAAAGGGAATTATTTGGAACTCCAGGAACGAGGCAAGACACTAAGTGCAATAGTGAGCAAATCTTCAACCTACCTGGACCTGTTTGTTTGTCGATCCTGATGTTTCCTGCTTAGCAAGTGCCCATGTTTCCCAAAATTATTGGGAAAAAATGAAGCAGAATGAGGCAAAATGGAACCCCATGCAACCCCTAGGGAAAAGCGGCTCTCCATGCAACCTGATGTTTTCCTCCAAACTTGAAAACACTGAAACATGAGGCAACTGTGCGGATTCGCAGGGTCCCTGATTTTGTTTTTGACCACAGGGAATACGCTGAGTTGCCACGGATGATGAATTCCGGATTGTCCAGGCATGGGGAGGTGAGGTTCAACTCTGAAATAGTTCCGTCGAAAGAATTTTCCTGTCGTGGTGCATCGTGGTGCATCGTGGTGCATCGTGGTGTGCGCCACGATGCTGGGAAAGAAATTTGGAGACACTAAATCATACTCCAATCGTCAGCCACGTCAGCCAAAAGAAATCCATTAGTTCTCAAGCCACACTCGAGCTGCCTAAAGGGCGTATGATTCAGATTTGATACCAAAACCAAACAACCACGATCTACCGGTCAATTGCATTCAATTGCGCCATACAAAGTGAAGGAAATTGCAATGGTTTCCGTGTGGAGACAATCGTTGCCTCCGCGTTTGAACTTCTGCTGCGAATAAGTCTCATGCAATCTCAAAAGCTGACCCCAAGAAATGGGCACTGTGGCATGTATATGCATATTATATGGTTCATATGATGTGTACAATGTGTACAATGTGTTGTGTGTTGTAACATGTCGTAACTGCCTTGACAAAAAACGCCAAGAGTCATGCAAGGTGAGCACGGCAAGGTGTTGTACGTGCCAGGAAGTTGAGAGTGCACCCGTGAAACCATTCCGATGCAGTGCCAACACGACCAGTTTGCTCTCAGCCGGAAGGGCTGGGACGGTACCCTGTAGAGCGTTGTTGTTCAGTGAGAGGTGCTTCAAACTGCTAAAGTTCAGCAAACACTCGGGCATCTCACCTGCAGGCGTTGCGCATTACCCGAGGTTCCAACTGAAGAAATCAACCGCTGTGCTAAAAATAAACCCAAATAGGAAGTCCGTGTTGCCACTAAATCCTGTAAGCACAGAACGAAATAATTAGTCAACATCATCCGCTTCCAATCACCGGTCTGTATACCTGGTTTGAACCCTGAAACCCTGGAAAGTCCATGAAAGTCCAAGCAATTGCACGAGTTTGGCGGTCACCTTTGAACCGGGCCACGCAAAGTGTCACAGCAACACTCTAGCAGACTCTAGCTCCTTGAGCTAGCACCTTGATTGAGCAAAAACAGGGACACCTCACCCTGAAGTGGTCACGGGGCGGTAACTCCCTGCCACTTCGCCATTGCACCTGTGAAGCGATTGTGGCTGAGACGGAGCTCTCGCAATGAACCTCCCATTGGGCTCGCGTTGCACAAGCGCTTGACGATTTCAGCTAAATGGCCTGTGAAGCCTTGGAGGTGGCAGAGGCAGCCGAGGCATCTGACTTGCATCTGGTCAACTTGCAGTACCGCGGACTAGACACCAGAGATAGGCAGGGAGCGCAATGTTGCAACATGTTGCAACAATTGTCGCTGTAAGAATGTGCCTCATGTTCCGCCTGTCAACATGTGCCTTGGTTCTCTTTGTCACGTTCCCTTGCAAGACGAAAACATCCAGCCAACAAGGCTCCAAATATGCACACCTGACAACCTATATATAATTATAAGATTTGCTGAGCCGAAATACAAGTTCCGGATTCCAACAACCAATTTTGGTAGGTTTGAAATATACAAGTAGATTTTGGCAAAACCTCATTGAGCTGGAAGGCACTTTAGACTTCACATGGACTTCAACGTGTTGCCGCCACACAAGATTTGAAAGTATTGTCTATCTAGGTGCAATTCTAAATAGGTTACCAATCCGCCTCTGACCGCAAAGACCTAGTCCACAAATCGAAATATGTCAGATTTAAGTCAGTTTCAAACCAAATTACTTCTGAGACACAAAAAATGGATATCCCCAGCTCCCGCGACTCCCCAACCTCATCCAACCTCCTTACATATCCAGAACCACAGAAAACAGGCAACGGTTGTGGCTCAGGTCCAACCGCTCCAAGCTGGTGGGAAGATCATCAGCCACTCGACCGCTTAAGGAGTTGTGCCCAAGGTCCAACGTCCGCAGCCTGGCGCAACATGTTCACCTCTTGAATCAAATATGGACCTGTTGTTTCGGTGGCAATCTTCACAGTCCGAAACCCCAAGCTGTCACACGAAGTACAGGTTGGCACAAAAGGTGATGCAGCCTTTTCTCGGGCTGCGCAAAGCGTAGATCGGCTCAGCGTCCCATGGGGAAACCCAGGTACAACAGTACCCCCTTAAAGTGGCATTGGGCCCAAAGGGGGCAGAGGAAATTGGCAGGATGAAAGGCCAAATTCCAGAAACCTAGGTGTAACCCTATTGCGTAGCACGCAATTCACACCGGTGGAAGTGTGAAAGGTAAAAAAAATCACTAAGGGTGAAAAGTCGCGGCTCAGTCGTCATCCCAATTGCCCGGCTGCAAAATGCCACCAAGCAGATGCGAGCATCTGGTGCAGTAGTTCTTCTCGATGATTTCCTGGGTGGCAAATCGCCTCAGGCATGAAGGATCCGCATGCCAGCAGCGACCACTCCTCGTGAAATACACGGGTGCTTGGGTCAAGTTGTGGAGGTCGGCCTGATGATGTTGCTCTTGAGCACGTAGTCGGTCGTTCAGGGCCGTGAAGTAGATGTCCAATTCCCGATGGTGTGTTTCCATCATGGATTCGTACACGTACTTGGGGACCATGTCCTCCTCCATTGTGATTTCTAATCGTCTCACCTCCTCAAAGTGTTCTCGGAGGGTCACGATCTCCCACGCATTCATCTCTGTTTGTGTCTCCACCGAAGAGACTGCTGGTGTACTCTCCTCTCTGAGGGTTTCTTCTTCAGCAGCCTGTCCAGCTCGATCAGCTCGGTTCCAAATCTTCCAGCCGCCAAACACCATGAGGCCGATGACAATCGCCAGAATCGCTGTGTAGAGCGGCTTGAGCATGCCCAGGTAGAGGTTGTTGTAGGTGAAGGTTGTGTTGTCGGTGGTGTCCAAGTAGGTCGCTGAACTGCCGGTCCAACACATTGCAAACATCGCTTGTAGAGCTCGCTGAGGCTTCTTCATCGCATACATCTTTGTGTTTCTTTGTCTTTCTTGAGGCGTCTTCTTCTTCGCAGCTTGGAACGTAGTGTCGCTCTTGAGCTTCACCATGTGGGTTCGAAGTCGTTCGGCCAATAGCTGAGCGGCCGTCTGTTTGGTGAGTCCATCAGCGTATTGCTGTTCTGATGATACCCAGCGGGTCTTCGCTGAGCAGCAGGCCAATTTGTCCTGTGTCACCAAAACTTCTATGGTGGTACGTTTGTCTGTACCACTGCTTGCCTGAACTTCAGGCTTCACCAGCAAATCGTAGAGGGCCTTCGCATCCACGATGAGCGCCGGTTCCACTGGCATCTTCGGCGTCTGCAGGTCGTTGAGGACCAACCAGGGCTTCCAGATCAGGTTCCAGAAGGTGCAGGTGAACAGCAGGCTGTCCGCAGCTTCAGATGCTGCTTGAGACTCTGCCGCCAAAGTGGATCTTGAGATCCTTGCCAGTTTCCAACTGCGCCAATCTACCACGTTGTAGTGGCCTTCAGCTCCTTCAGCAGTGGCTCGATCCACCATGGCTACTATGTAGCCACCTTGGCTGGAGTTGTCGGCACGGCAGGCGAAGCTTGCGTCCGAAAACGCTATGAAGGTCATGTCCTCCTTTCTCCCAAGGCTTCGAAATTCTAAGCCTACATCGCCGTTCTGCTTGGCGTACCGTAGGACTTTGTTTGCTTCCAAGAGAGTGGTTGTAGTAGCGGTGGTCACTGAACCGGCCATCATACTCACAGGGGCCTGAAGCCATGGAGCTGTCTGAGTGGCTGGCCATTGTAGCCCACCAAGTAGGCCTCGAAGCGCAGTTCTTTCGCCTTCAGTCACAGGCAGAACTTTCTGTTGTCTTTCTTTTGGAAAGCTGATTGGTTTCTGCTTTCCCAGGTAGTCAGTGTGGTGGATCTTCCAGTGGTTGTCTTCGATCTTGGTGATCTTTGCCCCGCAATAGGTGAGCTCCTCCTTCTCAGCACCACTGTGCCATTCTCGAAAACTAAACGTAGATCTCAACTTGTCCATGAGGGCTTTGGTTGCAGGGTCACGTTCATCACAGCATCCCAAAAGGTCGTCCACATGAAGTCCAAAGATCGCCAAAAGGCGGGGTGCTTCGGCAGCATCATCACCATCTTGTGGAAGTTGGATCGGCCGGTCGTAGGCCAGGAAGAGGCAGCTGTCCAAGGGGTGCTGCACGATGGCTCCATCGCCCATCTTCAAAATCCTTTCCACAGCTTCATCAAACCAAGCTTTCGGGGCATCCACTAGGCCGTACATGGGCTTGATGAGCTTCATCACTCGGCCGTGTCCAGCTGGTAGACCAAGTAGATCATCAGCTTCACGGGGAAGCTTCACCCAAATCTCTCGCTCGGAGTCCGGGTCATAGCTCTTGCCCTGAAGGAAGGCGGTCGAGATGTCGGCCGTGAAGGGGTAGTAGCCCAGCATTGATGCAATGCTCAGCACAAAGTTCCTGGAGAGACGGGTCAACGTAGGGCTCGCCGTAGTCAAGGTCCCGCTCAAGGCATCAGGGTCCTTGAATCCTTGACATATGAGCCTTGCTTTGGCTCGAGGGCTCCCATCAGCGTTGGTCTTCCAGTTGAGGATGAACTTTGCCCGCAGGATGCGGTCAGGTCTGGCATTGGCCTCCTCGTCGAAGACCCAGACGTCGTTCTGGAAGAACGAAGCTAACTCCTTCTGCTTGGCCTCTTTGAAGGCAAGTCGGTCTGACAAAGACATCGTCCTTTCGCTCAAAGGAGCGTTGGTCTTGTCCTCCTGCAGGTAGATGGTTTCAGCGCCAAAGCTCTTGTCCTGGAAGGTGTTTTTGGCATCCTTTCGGTGTGGTGTTTGGATCTTGAACCGTGTGTAGCCAGTCCAGGTGTGTCCTGTCAGCTGTCTGCAGGGCGTACCACGGGTCCATTTGTCTCGGACCACTTGTCCATTGGCCAACTTGGTGATGCGTTGGCGTGCCAAACATCTCAAAGGCACAGGACAGTTGTCCTCTGTTGGAGTGAACTCCTTCTCCCGGGCCACATAGTGCATCCTCGTGAGATAGTTTCCCTCAATGCGCCACTCGTCCTCAATCTCCCCCAGGACCATGTAGCCGTTCTCATAGTTCCATCCCGGCGGCAAGTGGCTGTTGGGCAAGAGGTCAACCTCACAGGTGAACTCGATCTTGTCATCGTCGTTGAGGGGCTTCTAGGAGTATGGAGTCTCTCTGACGGGCTGTGCAGTTGCAGGGCCATAGGACTCAGGCCTTCTGATCAGAAGGGCCTCCTGCCTTGCAACTCGGGCTCGTTGTTGAGCAAAGGACTCTTTGCTCTCAGGTGCAAAGAAAGGTTTCTGGCCCTCAGGGATCGGCAGGTGAGAAGTCGTCAGTGAAGGTGGTACCTGCGGCTCTTCCAAGGGCTCAGGCTCCATGACACTTTGGGTAGTTGGTGATTGTTCAGGTAATTCTGCATCAGCTGGTGTTAATGTTGCAGGTTGCAGGTGTGGTGCACTTGAAGGTTGTGCGCTGGAGGAGGAAGTTGTTGTAGGTGGTGGTGGTGGTCCCATAGGAGCTCCTCCAGGTAGTTCATCATCCATGGGCCCCTCCGGCTCGTCACCATCATCATCTTGTTCGGAGTCCATTGGGGTCCCAGGTTCGTAGGGTTCGGAAACTCGGTCTGCGTCCACAACAAATGTTGTGGTACCAGTCCACACGTAGTGAAGCTCTCGGTTTCCTTGAGGCACCTTCCACTCGTCTCTGATTCTCAGATGTTCTGGGTGAGGTGGTTCTCGACGAATGTCGGTGGTGCGCTCGGGCTTGAAGAGGTGCACAGGGACATTCTCAGAGAGTGTCGGGACGTAGAGCTTCCGTCGAGGAGTGTTGTGGATCCGTGTCCACAGCCTCCCATCATCAGAGGCTTGCCAGTGGTCAGGTGGTAGTTCTTGGACAGGAAAACGGCCCATATCGCGGTCGTCCTCACCTTCTTCCTCATCTGAAGCAATTTCGTCCCGCCTCCTCTTGTTGGTCTTGCCCAAGTCGATGTAGTTCGTCACTCCTCTGTTTCGAATGCCCTGTAGAGCTTCCTTGGCCACATCGAGAGGGTCTTTCTGCTTCTCCGTGACATCCTGGGCCGCATGAGCTGGTTTGACATGCTCAGGTGCTGCTCTCAAGAGCACAGTGCCATGGCCCAACCAATAGATGTCACTGTTGGGACCAGCAGGTCCAGGTTCCCTCATGATGACAGTGGCGGGGCCACGCCATCGAAGCTTTGCCACTGACCCTGCTGGAGCATCACGCCAGTAGTAGCAGAGGTCGCCAGCGCTCAAAAGCGTCTGCTGGCCCATGAACTTCCGCAGCAGGGCTCGTCGAAGACGTTGGTCTCCATCGGCCTCGGCAGTTGCCTTAGCAGCTTCTTGTTGCAGTCGTAGTTTCTCCATGAACTGCGCCGATGGGTCCAGGTGTGATGGGTTTGAGCCTGTCTGCTCTTCCATCAAGAGGCCCGGCACGTGTGGCGTATAGCCCAAAGTCCATTGGATCGGACTGAAGCCACACACATTTGGGCTGCGGTTGATCTGAGGGATCACGTAGTTCAAGGCAGTGACAAGCCCGTCAGGATCTCCGGCCAAACTGGGATTTCCTTGAAGGAAAAGTGTCACAGCACGTCTTGTGACCTGGTGCCTCCGCTCCAAGACAGCCAAGCGGGTGTGGGCTTGGCCAGGTGATATCTGCAGCAAGATCCCTTGCTCGCAGCACCATTCTCGCATCCTGTCACTGCTCCATGCCCTGTGCTCATCGACCTGTAGCACCTGCATCGGGCCGAAATGTCGGACCCAAGCTCTTTCAAGGTGCTTGATGAACTCCTCCGTGCTTTCGCCACCTCGTAGATGTCGTCCAGCAAGAAGTCGGGTGGTACTATCGGAGATCATCAGCACGGGCTGCTGGTGCTTCTGGCCAGGAACATGAATCCAAAGAGTATCAGCTTGGACTCGTTGGTTGAACGTTGAGTTCC